ATATAAGTGGAATTTCAGTCGTCAGATTTTCATCATGTGGTTCAGAATACATATCACTATATAAATTTTAACATTTTTTTTAGAAATCAATCATAATGAAATTTTAGATTGTGTACTGAAAAATAGGGCGTACATTAAAAACTATTTAAAAAATATTTCTAAAAATATAAAACGATCAGAATACCCCTGAAAAATGACAAGGGTAATTTGGCCATTTAAAATTACTGAAAATAATGTTTTTATATTTTTAGATAGTGCGCAATAGTATTAGGTATATACACTCAAAATTTCATCTTAATCAGATTTATAGAAAAAAAAAAAATTAGAATTCATATAAAATTAAAAAAAAAAACTAAATTTATCCTTAATTAATTTATCTGTTAAAATAATTTTTTAAACAAAAAAATAACCCTTTCTATCGTTAACCTTTGTATTTTCAATGGTTATTAACCCTACACAAACCTATACATATAAGGCATTATTTTTTCATAAAAGTTTACCCTTTAATTTTTTCATAAAAGTTTACCCTTTAATTTCTAAAATTTCTAGCTTAGTGGTAGACAATATCGATTCGAACCACAGACATTTGAAGCCTGTCTCGAATATGAATCACATACGTGATAAGTCTGTCTCGAATATGAACCAAACACGTTCACCTATCACCTTTTAACTTTGTGGTGGGTACTCAAAAAGAACATGCTTTAAAAGACCGTTTTTTGGATTGGAGCCAAAAATAAACAAGGTTTAAAAACATTGAAAATGCAAACCCATACGTTCGCCCGTTATTGTGCTGAGAAATAATTGAATCGGTATCTCAAAATCCAAAACGGTGTGCTAGGTCGTTCACTCACAGATCCTAAATAGATCGCTACGTCAGTAATTTGGGTCTGTCTAAATCGATAACCTAAAAAATATTAAAAAACAAATAAAATAAAATAAATAGAAACAAAAATAGGGGTTTATGTGGTGGGATCTAAGGAGACCTAAAAACATATTAGTGAGGTTTAAAAAAAGGGAAACAAATATAAAAATAAGGGGTTTTATGTGGAATCTTGTTGAGACCCATATCATTCTAGAACGGGTTCAATTCCGACTGGTTCCAATAGGGTTCATGGTAACCCTTGTGCGTTTATAATATTGTATTTCCTTTTTCATTTGATATCATAAAGGCTATTATGCAAGTTGTGATATGTCTTTTCTTTTCTTGTATGTTTTCCTTCTTCTTTGTATGATTATACAGGCTGTGTAACTTGTCAAATATTATATAAATAGGGGTTTTTTCCCATGATCATATACTGAAATATACAAAAAAATTTCTCTCACAATCCCTAGCTTGCGGTGTTGGGAATCCCAAATACCGTGATCCCACCTAAGATCGTGTACATGATTGGCTAAATACGAAGTAGATGAATACAATTATAAATCGAGTGCAAAAAATAAAGCGAACATGAAAAAGCATACCACAACAACACAAGATTTATGTGGCTCACCTCGTAGGGCTACATCTACGGCATTGACAAGTACAAATATACTATTACAATAAAGATTACAGTTTTGAGTTACAATAAATATAACTCTTTTTAAACATAGGTAAAAAGCTATTCACCGTTCTTCTCTTCTAAACTTGCTCGGGTTTTTTACCGATCTTTTCTTCTAAATCCGCTCTCCCGATCGAGCAACATTGTCGATCAATATCTTCTTTTCCACTGCAATAACGTTGCCGCCATTTCGAGAGTAACCGAGAGACTCTCTCTCTATAGAAGTGAAAATTAAATCAACCCAAAACCCTCTATCTACGAGGTCATATCTCTCTTTTGAAGATCTATCTCTTATTTGGAGATCTACTCCTATAACCCCCAAAAGGGTGACTTTCAAAATGATAGAATATTATGTCTTCATTGAGTCTTTTTTATAGATATCACTTTTTTGTTTTCCAAAAAAATCTATTTTCTTTTTTTTATAATAATATCTTTAATATTTTAAAAAAAAACATGAGTATAATGACTTGGCTGTCACCGAACCCAACAGTTCCCATCCCAATCGTAAATCTGGTTCGAGAATCCCCATGTTTAAGACAAAAGGCTGAATTATATGCACCAATTTAATTCCTAACTAGAAAGGTGAGGAAATCAAGTCACACCACCTCAAACCAGACAGGTGGGGAAATCAAGTTAACGGACGCAAGCAACGTAGGGTTGGGTGAAGCTCGACTTTGACAAGAGTTCACCGGTAAATGAGCGTGGTGGTCTCCTTCATGATACCATAAATGTGGCCGAATTACATGGACTTTAAAAGTGGAGTTTCATGCTGGTTGTCGATAAAAAATAGGTTAATTGTTGAGCCGCATTTAGCCAACAAGATTTCCCAGTGTAGGAGAGATCATAAAACTCTATGGTCATGGGCATCGATTTTAGTCGAAATGGAACAGGCCCTGGATAACAAAGAAGTAATATTTTTGCAATGTATAGGAAATGAGGCCAAGTTACAGGCACCCAACAGCAGAGCTTTGTGCTTGCTGTCAATCCACATATGACAATAAGGTACGTAAATCTATATAATGTGACCATTATAATTTGATACAAGGAGGTTACAATTATTATTGAACGTTAGATTTGAAATCTGGTGGTTGAGGATGTGTCATTATTTAGGCACAAAGTTCAAAATAAATTTTTTTGAATATTATACCACATTTTCATCTATTGAATTGAAATTCAATGGATAAAAATAATTGTGACCTCTTTGTATCAAAATAAATGATATCATAGCATACAAATTCATAAAGTAATTGTCGAGGGGATTCAACCAACAGGATTTCTTGCTGGGGGAAATCATAGAATTCCATGGGCATTGTACAATTTTAGTTGAAATAAAGCAGGCTTTGAGTAACAAAGAAATAATTACTTTAGCATACAACTAGGGAGAGAAAGAATGAGGCTGATTGATTGATGAACTCAGCTTCTTTAACAACTTTTGGTATGACCCTCTCGCCCTCTTTGTTGTTGTTTGTGCTCATGGATTGCGATGGTGTTGGAGTATCTTAACTTGAGGGGTTTGCTTGGAAGAGAGATGAGCTAAACGTTTTGTCCGTATTCCTACATATTCTGCATACGGGGTTAATTGGGTGACTGCTTTGATTAAAATGATAGGTCCCCCTGTATATAAATATATTGAGTCACAATTAATGGTGTTGATGTTAGGATTTGAGAACTCTTATAGATGTGGAAATAGAAATCCCAAAAGTTGGATCCCACCAAGATCGTGTAATTATCCTGCTAGAAACAGAGAAGAGCACGAGCCATAATACGAGAAATAAATCATGAAACACATGCTCTACAAGAATACAAAATTTACGTATTTTACCTCAAGAGGGTCACATCCATGGGCACGGTAAAATGAAATTCATTATACCAATGAAAGTTACATTATAGATTTTAGGATATAGAGTTATCTCTATAACCCTCAACAATAGGGCATAGAGTTACCTCTATAACTCTCGACAAAACCCAGTCGAGTAAACTTTTTTAGACCTGCTCTCTCAATTGGCACGACTAACCGATCTCTCATATCTATTCTACAGCTAAACCACTGCCCATGAAGAGACTTATCTTCCACCGCCAAACCACTATTCAAGAGGACAACATTGAGAGCAAGTGAGACTTTCTCTCTCTGAAAGGAGAAACCACCCAAAATTTTCATGGGAACCGCTTATCTATAATAAACCAACTTTTCAATTACATGTTAAGATAAAATTTTCTAATTAGGTATGAAAATAGATTTTAAGATAATACTAAGAATTCTTTAAAACAAAATTACATGTTATGATAAAATTTTAAGGTGCACCTTAATTGGATTGTTTAAAGGTTGCAACCTTATAGAAACCGTACCTATATATATATATATGTTAGGAATCCACACTAAATAGGAAACTTGTTATAGATGTTGTATATCTCAAAAGATATATCCCAGAGTCCTAATTTTTTTTTATTTCTATTTTCTTTAAGAAAGTTATCATTATTAATCTCAATCCCATATAATATCGGATTTCTTTATGTGGGTGATTTTGAATAATCACCATATCCAACAGTTGACACATGTCATTCAGACACCAGTGAGAGAGAGAGACTTTAGAGTAGAGAACCTACCAAGGGGGTTCCTACAAAATGGGAGTTTGGGGCATCTACCTCTTGATCAAATTCAATCTCAACCTCTTCTAATAATAAAGCCTTACAAGTAATTTAGGTAGAAATATATCATCATCATCACAGGTTTTTTTCAATTAATTGGGGTCGGCTAGGCGAATCATGGTCATCCATTATGCTCTATTAAGAGCCATACCCCTAGTGAGGCCATACGTTCCCATATCTTTTCAGACTACTTTCAACTACGTCTTTTTGTACTTCTCCTTGCTCTTTTCGAACCTTTCACTTGAACTAACTCATA